GCCTCGCCATCATGTTCTTCGGTTCTCTAGCATCATCTCTCGCACAGACCGCCACACAACTTATCATCTTCCGCGCCTTCACCGGCATGGGCGGCGGCGGGATCACGTCCATCGCACAGATGATAGTCAGTGACGTCGTACCACTCCGCGAGCGAGGTAAATATCAAGGCATTCTCGGTGCCGTAATAGCAATCGCCAACGGCATCGGCCCTGTGATCGGCGGTGCTCTATCCCCGATATCCCACAACTCGTGGAGATGGATCTTCAGGCTTATGCTGCCGCTCACAGCTATCTCTATTCTTGCGGTGATGTTCTTCATGCCTTTGCGGAAAGTCACCGGTGACTGGAAAGCGAAGCTGAAAGCCGTTGATTTCTTCGGCGTGTTTCTAGCACTCGGAGGCACGGCGGTACTTATGCTCGGATTGACTTGGGGCGGTGGCGAGTATCTCTGGAAATCGGCACATGTTATAGCGACGCTCGTCGTGGGGTTTGCTGTTTGTGTGGCGTTTGTTCTATGGGAATGGAAGGGGTATCCGTATCCGCTGATACCCATGCATATATTCAAATCGCGCATTGTGAATGGAGCATGTCTGACTATGTTCATCAACGGGTGGAACATCATTGTCATGCTGTACTATATCCCGACCTTCTATCAGCTAGTGTTCAATTATTCGACTACCAAGGCTGGTGCAATGGTATTACCCATCACATTGTTGCAGAGTACGTTGCCTCGCCCCACCGTCATTATCCCGTTACTCTCTATCCCATGCTTACTATGACCACGTTAGCCCTAAGCAGCACTCTCTCCGGCCTAGTCGTCCACTGGGTGGGCCGATATCGCGAATCCATCCTCATCGGCTGGATGATCTGGGCCATCGGACTCGGCCTGATGTCGACGCTAAACGAGACATCCAATCTGGGGAAGCAGATAGGTTACGGCCTATTGACAGGTATAGGTTCAGGAAATACATTACAGCCGTGAGCCCCTCCACCCATCATACATACCCCATAACAACCCACTTACCAACCCACCTCACAACACAGTGCCCTAATCGCCGTCCAAGCCGGCGTCGCCAGACGAGACATGGCCATCGTCACCTCATTCCGAAAGTAACATCCCCATCCATCCCCATCTCCATCCATCCAGCCACCTCTAAAAACCCACCACTAACACCTCCACCCCCAAAAACAGCTTCATCCGCAACCTAGGCGGTACCCTCGGCCTCGCTGTCTCGGGCACAATCATGTACGTATACCCCACCCACCTACCCACCCACCTACCTGATCAATCTAACCGAAAGAAACGTCAGAAACAACCTCCTCTCCACCACCATCAACACCCTCCACCTAACCACATCGCAGAAACAATCCTTCCTCGCTAGCCCATCCAACTACCTATCGAAACTCCCTGAAGACGAAGCAGCAAAAGCTCGTGCGTTGCTTATCCCCGCGTACAAAAGGGGCTTCAGGATCGTGTTCACGGTGAATGCGGCGCTCGCGGCATTGGCGTTTCTCTTGGCGGTTGGGTTGATGCCGCAGGTGGGGTTGGAGAGGGCGGATGATGAGAGGTTGAAGGAGGAGGGGAAGAGGAGGAGGGGGGGGCTGAGAGGTGATGGAGATGGAGATGGGGGGGATTAGTCAGTAGTAGAGTTCTTATGCTGGGTGCTAAGATGGTGGGTATAGATGTGGTTGGTGACGGGGGTGCGTGGTCGGGGTAATTTCTCGTGCTGGTGGGTTTAGTAGAGAAATACCAAATCATATAGACAATAGTGAAGTGAAAAGTCATTCTTGGAAAGCCATTCATTTAAAAAGTAGTAGCAGTAGTAGTGTAACACCCGGAAAAGTTGAAAGCAGGTCGTTGATCATGTCATCATCATCAAGCCAGTCCAATCCAATCAATCTAGCTAGCTATGCTGCAGCAACATCAATTTAACCAACAATCAATCAATCGTTCAATCGTTCAATTTGCTGTATGATTCTTTTAGACCAGCTGAATCAACAATGCCCGAAACACCCCGAGACGCCTAACACAGAAGAAAACAGAAGGGGATTAAAATTCATCAATCACTAGGACTCGTTCCACAACCCAGTCTACCAACATCTGTCCCTCTATCCGCCATCGGCCATCCCGCCACACCTCATCCAGCCAGTAACTCATGCCCTTGCCGTGATGATGAAGAATCAACCCACCATTGCCGCGGCGTTTACCCTCCGCTTTGGAGAAATCGTTGTTCACGCGAAGAGTCCCAATGCCCACACCGGTGGTTCCTTGACGAGCGTGCCATTCGCGTTCGGCTTTCTCGCCGGCACGACGCGCCACGGCTTCTTCGTCTTCGTCTTGGTAGAGCTCGCATTTGTTGCATTCTGTGCAGCGTGAGCCGGGATCAATGCGGAAGTGCTCGCAGAAGTGCTTATAGCCTTCCATTTCTTCGAATTCGTCGTCGTTTCCGGCTTCTTGTTCGTCGTTCATGGCGTCTAGTCCGGCTGCAGGGTCGACATTCTCAACGAGGTTGGCGCGACGGCGTGGTCGAAGTCGTCCTAGTCGGTTTGCGGACTTGATCGGAGAACCAAGAGCCTTACGGCAGAGGTAGCACATGGAATAGCCGCAGACGCAGGTCAGTTTGTTGCAGCCGGAGGACTTGACGAATGAGAGGCCGCAGCGCGGACAGGTGCGCTTGACAGCTGCAGTGCGAGCAGCCTCGACGGTGGCCCGGAGGTCGAGGAGAAGCGGTTCGTGGCACACGTGAGGGTCACGCCATGGTTTCTGGCAGGTGATGCAGCTGACGCGTCGGCATGCGGGGTGCGCACAGGTGAATTTCTTGGGTCGGTTTTTGAGACAGAGGTTGAGGAGAGCGTTCTGGAAGATGATGAATACAGCAGAAGAGTTGACAAAATAAAGAATCGCTAGAGGAATGATAAGTATGGGTATCAAGTCGAGTAAGAAGATGGTAATCAGAAGCGTAGAGAGGAACCCGTCGCGACGAAAGCGCCAAACAAGGCCGTGAGCAGACGGGTGGTAAACCGGATCAACTTCAGCGTACGAGCAAAACGGACACCGAATGAGCTTCAGCTGGGACTTGAGCAGAACCTCGGAGGACAGGCGCGTCTCAAATTTCGTAAAGGTCTCAAGTCCGGCCTTGTCAAGCAAAATAGCCTGCTTGACGATCGCTGGGTCCAAGGTCCCGGGGCAACTGTCGTGATCGAACGGCGCCAAACATTTCAACGTTGACTTTTCCACGTCGACCGATTTACCCCAGCCTTGACCGAACAGAGCCTCGTGGATGGTTCGCCGGATGCAGCCATAGCAAATAATGTGCGTATTGTCCGAGCATGTTGATATTTGCTCAAAGGTCACATCGTCCAAACAGCACTCGCACTCATAAACAGCATCAGCCTCCTTGGCTTCTGTCTCATTCAGCTCCTCCCCCAACTTCTGGTCTCTATCAAGTCTCTCCTCCCGCCTGGTTCGAAGTAGGGGTGCCAGCAAGGCCCAATACAGCTCCCGGTCCAACTCCGGGCACTCCGTCTTTTTCAGCCGCGGGATCATGTCACCATCTGGCTGACGCTGCCACACGATGAGTGGATGCTCGTTCTTATCTTTACCGCGCTTGAACGAAGGGAGAATGCTGTTGAAGGTCGCACGCCAAGTTCTCCGGGAAAGATCTTGCAGAGTTGGACGGGCTCGCAGATAAGAAAAATTCACTTCTGCCAGCACTGCCTCCACCGTACTCTTGCTCAGACCATTAAACTCCTTCGTGAGAGCCGCCTTCACGGCAGCTTTATATTCGTTTGTCCGGAATAGCTCATCAGGCGGGACTGCATGCTCATGTCCGGTATGTTGTTGTTGTAGATCATCTTTGCCATCTTCTTCCGTTCCCCCAGTCCCAGCTGGCACGTTCCACCGCCCGGCTACCCACGCCTCTTTGTGACGTAGTAACTGCTCGACGCAAACATGGAGACGGCTCTGCCCATCGAATCGGACCAGGAGCTCTCGAAAGACTTCGATGCGAATATCGGGAAAGATTCGAGCGAGGGTCTGCAAAGCCTGGTTTAGCTCCTCCTGTTCTCGTTTCTGTTCCTCGGAGGTGGTATTCGAGGCGGCGAGGGAGCGAGATCGGGAGGTGATGCCGAAAGGATTATTGCGGAGAGCCTCGCTGATGGTTGTAGAGTTGCTGCTGTCGCTGGCGCGAAGCGCGGAGGAGGTGGTGGGCCTGGAGAAGCTAGGGACAGATAGGGAGAGCACCATCGTTGCACTGACGGAGGGGCGCAAGACCGAGCTTGCTACATGATCGTCGGAGGGTAGACGGGAAGGCGTCTGGCCAGAAGGAAGGGTATCTGGCGGGCGAAGTTAATTCCAGCTTAGTGTCGGGAAGCCAGAGAGATGGAAGAAGATGGCGTGGGATGGGACGTGGGGGGAGGGAAAGATGATGGGGTGATCAGTTGGATGGGAAGATGAGAAGATGATGGGAAGCGGAATGATGGAATGAATCAATCGGGAGGAGTTGACTTCCGTGACTTTACTCCAAATGATCCAATCACGGGACAGGTACAATGCTCCACCCAATCACTTCTACGAATATACTTCAACTAAATATGTACAACAATGTATTGATAGCATAATGATGAGGCTATGCTGCATCCTAATTCCCCGCTCCTGATCTGACAGCTTGAGGCTGATTTCCGCCTGGTAAGATAATTGTTGGCCCAACAAAGGCATAATTTTCCACAGGCTTGACTAGGGGTCTCTAGAAGATACTTGATTGGCGTGTACTATTTGGATGGCATCTCTCGAATACTATGCAAGGGTCGAAAAGGAATGAAATCACCCTTATCATTCGAAATATGCACACATTTCGTCCAGTTTCGTTGTTCCAAAATGGATGCCTGGCATAAGCATCTACTGGTGCCTGATCCAGCCTATCATCCCGTAGTCCATAGAATCAAAATAATTAAACCCACCACAACAGCTTCCAACCACACCAGTTACCCCATCACACACAATGACACGTGAAAACAAGAGCGTGCAACTCACACCATCCATGATCCCCGACCTTTCCAACTATAATGTTAAAGAATCATCTTTCTTCACAAGATGGGAACAATTACCTTCCCCGGAAGAAGTGCGAGCACAAGCCAAAGCCCAGCATCTCGCTGGAATAAATCCAGATCGACGGAAAGACTATTCCACCGACTCATTTCATACTAGACCACCGCCTGTCCTATTTGAAGTATTGAATCTGCTTGTGAAGTGGGGAATGTCTCTCAAAATATCCGAAGCTTACTGTCTATATGCTCTTGCCGATTTCTCAAAGGCCAAGTCCCCGTCCCCGAGGTATATGGATGGCGCACAGAAGGAGAGGTGATATACATCTACATGAAGTATATAAAGGGAAAGACTTTGGAGCAAGCATGGGATGTTATGGCAGAGAAGATAAGACAGGCATCTGTCATGAGCTGAGAATAATCTGCGATCGACTCCGTCAGCTCGAACAGGACCCGGAGGATACATTCGTCGGTACATACATACATTGATTCCATCTATCCTATGAAATACTAATATCACCGTTATCTAACCATGCTCTTCACAGGAAACATCGCACAAAACCCCATCTACGATAGAACCTTCAGCATCAACCACCTGCACGAAGCAGGCCCATTCCCCACCGTCCGCCAATTCCACGACTGGTTCACATTCCTTCCCCGGCGACGGATGTCAGATCCATACTCTGTACCTATAGAACCATATCGCTATGGTCTTCCAGACCACTGTGCCATAAAATTCACCCATGGCGATCTCCATCGCAGTAACATCATCATCACATCCTCTCCTCCACACCATGTACTAGCAATCATCGACTGGGAGCAATCCGGCTGGCTGCCTGCATACTGGGAAGTGCGCAAAGCGCAAATGTCAGCTTGGAGCGGTGAAGAATGGGCATCTGTCTATCTTCCCATGTTTTTGGATGGCTTTGACACTACGGTGGATTCATGGTGGTGGTATATAGCCGCTTTGGGACCTTGAGTATTTGATTTCACTTGATGCATATAGATCAGTAAATCGAGCTAAGTTGATAGCAATGAATGGACAGACAGACTACTTATCTGTATCTATCACCAACAAGCTATTGACTGGATAAGGTGCCCCTACTCCGAGGCTGCCTGAGGCTCATGTAGGGTTCCTAGGGCTGCTTGTAGCAACACAGATCAGTGACTTAGATACGACGATGCTTACAATTGGGTAATGTGCTAAGACTTTCGACGTAGGTGAGGATACGTTTACATGGCGTGTTCTTGACATCTACTACGATTTGTACATGTACCATACGGTCACTCAATGTATTACTGGTTTTTGAACAGAAAATCAATTCATGACATTATGTACATACAGTCTGATAAATCACACCACTTCCCTGTTTTACAACTTGGCCTTGGCACCCTCCAACAGCTCGGCTCCAGCCCCCGTGATGGCAGGCTTGCCGGTGTCTACCACCGTCGTCTGGAAGATGACCACATTGCCCTCCTTCCACATCTCCGTGCGGAGGGTCTGACCGGGCAGCACCACACCAGAGAAGCGGACCTTAAGGTTCTTGAAGGCACCGTATGTGCTGAACACATGCTTGCCAGAGACACCCAGAGAGCAGAGACCGTGCAGGATAGGGGTCTTGAAGCCACCGACCTTGCTGAACTCGGGGTCGATGTGCAGAGGGTTGCGGTCACCGTTGAGACGGTAGAGAGCGGCCTGGTCTTCAGAGGTCTTTTCCTCGACAACCGCATCGGGCTTGCGCTGAGGAGCCTTGTAGGGCGCCACGGCGGCCTTGGGGCGGGGGGCAGTGGGCTTGGGCGATCCGCCGAAGCCGCCACTGCCACGGATGAAGACGGTCGACTCGTTGTAGAAGAGATCCTCGCCGGTCTTCGCGTCCTTGGTGGTGTAACCGGAGACGACGAGGGCGGCGTTGCCCTTGTCCACGACGTCGATGAGCTTGGGGTAGGTCAAGGTCTTGGCGGCGGTGGGAATGGGGAACTTGCGGACCTCCATGTACTGTTCGCCATGCAGCAACATCATGGGGGAGAAGTTGGCGACAATATCATCCATGTTCCAGGGGTTGGCGGTGTTGAACCAAGGGATCACACCGTATGTGGGCAGAGCCTGGAAGTGCTCGTTGTTCTCGTACACCAAGGGAAGGTCGGTGCGCTTAGCGCCGACACTGAGGTTGTAGAGGATGACATCCCGGTCCTCGTAGTCGAAGGATGTTCCGTCAGTGGTGGCCTGCTTGGCCTTCTCGATGGCCTGCAGGATGTTGTTGCCGCCCTCCGAGTCACCGCCGCTGCGGTTGCTCATGTTGGCCATGATCTTCTCCGAACCGGCCTGGCCATCCTCAGGGTGGTCCGCACGGCCATCGTCGAAGTTGGTGATCTTCTGCCAGTGCTTGAGCACCTCCTCAGGGGTAAGCTTAACGTCAACGGGGAATCCGTGACCGCCGGTACGCTGCCAGCGAGTGCGGCCGAACCAGCCGCTGCCACACTCGTACAGACCCTTGGTGCTGGGCTCAGGCACGATGTCCGAGCACAGAAGAGCCACCAAGGGAGCAACGTAGTCAGGCTTGAACGCCTGGACCATCTCCTCGGGCATGATGGTACGGGTCATGTTGGTACCGGCATTGGGGGCAATGGTGTTGACCTTGATGTTGTACTTAGCACCCTCAAGAGCAAGAGTGCGGGAGAAACCAAGAATTCCGAGTTTCTAAGACAATTAGTGAAAGACGCTAAGAAAATCAGCATTGGCAGTAACATACCGCGGCGGCATAGTTGGCCTGTCCAAAGTTTCCGTAGATACCGCTGGTGCTGGCCGTGTTGACAATGCGACCATACTTCTGCTTGAGCATGTAAGGCCAGGCAGCCTTGGTCACCTTGTAGGTGCCGCGCAGGTGGACATTGAGGACAGGGTCCCACAGGTCGTCGTTCATGTTGGTGAAAGCCTTGTCACGCAAGATACCAGCGTTGTTGATCAGGATATCAATACGGCCAAAGGTATCGATGGCGGTCTTGACGACGTTCTCGCCATCCTCGCAAGATGCCTTGTTTCCAACAGCCTGGCCGCCCATCTTCTTGATCTCCTGGACAACGGGCTCGGGGTCGACGAGATCGTTCACAACGACGGCAGCGCCATATTTGGCAAAGAGCAGACAGTAGGCACGACCAAGACTATGAGGACGTTAGAACCGATAGATCGCTATCATTTATCTGCGGTATTACATACCCGTTGCCACCACCAGTGACCAGAGCAACCTTGCCCTTGAAGTTGGGCTCCTCACCCGCTTGGGCGCTGGGCAACTTCAAGCCATCCTCCAAGAGACCCATAAAGTCAGCAGGTCCGGTGGGGTAGTCCGGCTTGGAGAAGTCGTTGACATCGTTCCACTTCCGAGCGATAGCACCGGGGGTCAAAGAAGCATCGGTCTTCAGAAGAGCACCCTTGGCACGTTCCCAGCGCAGCTTGGCGACGTGTCCACCACCGACTTCGTAGATTCCACCAGTCTCAGTAGTGTTGGATGAGTGGACCAAAGCAGCCACCAACGGGACAACCCAGTCGGGCTTGAGGTTCTCCAGGACCTCAGGGGGCATGACCGTGGCCGTCATACGGCTAGCAGCTGTTTCAAATTAGCCACTGCATTTCCAAAGAAACCGAATCAACGTACCAATTGGCGCGATAACGTTCGCAATGATGTTGTACTTGGCACCTTCCTTCGCCAGCGTCTCGGTGAAGCCGACCTGTCCGAGTTTGGCAGCTAATATGGTCAGCAGCAGCTCCTAAACTCCGAACATACCCAAACTTACCAGAGTAGTTTGCCTGGCCGAAGCTACCGAACAGACCAGCCGAAGAAGCAGTGTTGATAATGCGGCCATACTTTTGTTTCCGGAAGTGAGGCCATGCGGCTCTTGCGCACTGTAGACGAAGCCTCGCGTCAGCAACCACGTGAAGGCCGAGGCGAACGCATCCTGCCTACCTTGTATGCGCCGTATGTGTGCACTCTGTAGATAAGGTCCCAGTCCTGGTCTTTCATGTTCTTGAAACTGATATCCCGGAGGATACCGGCGTTGTTGAGAAGGACATCGATGCGGCCAAAGTTCTTGATGGCGGTTTCAATGATGGCTTCGCCGTTCTCGACACTGTCGTAGTTTGCTACCGCCTTGCCGCCAGCAGCTCTGATTTCATCGACAACCACATCGGCAGCCTAGGAGAGACACTCGGAATCAGCGGGTTCAACCAAGGGCGTTGGAGAAGAGTCTGTGTAATCATAGACACAACCTACCTTGGCCGACTTGCCCTCACCAGAATGAGAGCCACCCAGGTCGTTGACAACGACGTTTGCACCTCTTGAGGCAAAGAAGAGGGCATATGCCTTACCCAGGCCACCACCAGCACCGGTGACAACCACGGTCTGGTTGTCGAAGCGCAGCTCAGACATGTTGAATAATCAATGTGAGGAGGAGAGGAGGGGAGGTGGAGAGATGGAGAGATTAGAGGGAGAGGACAGAAATGCGAAATGAGGAGAAGAGACGGGGTATTATATGAAAGTTAGTTGAAGAGAGAGGAGAAGCTTAAGGGGACTTGGTCTGGGGGAGGGAAGAGTTGAAGAATCCGGGGGAAGAGGACGGTCGCAATGCTCGGCAAGCTGGACCAGGGAACCTCGGCATCTTTTGCAGGTGAAGCTCGGAGGTTTGGTCGTTTGGCGCTAAACCGATCGGGGGTGGCAGATGATGCTGCCTTCACATGCCGATGTCCCCTTCCACGATAATCATTCTACAGCATGATTAGTACACACTAACTAACTACGAATAATTGAAGCAAGGAGTTTCTCCCATGGTTATCCATTCTACAAATTTAGTTTCTTCTTCCTTTCACTTTTCCTCAACTTCCACCCGGTTGCCAAGATACTCCGAAACTATTATCCCGGTTATGTTGACTGCCACCTTTCTTTATCTACCCATATGTGACTATCCTACGGACTATCAACATGATATTCTTCATACGATCCAACTAGACTTGTTCAGTCTAAAAAGGAACTAACTATAAAAGAATGACCTAGATCGACAGCTCTGATCATGTCTGCCACCACCAACATCATCAACTTCCTGCTGACTCAGACATGTGATTCTCAGCCAACGTCATGCCACGTGCTGCTACTCCCTTTATCTATTTCACATTAATCTCAAAGTCAATAATATCCTTGCATGCCGGATACTATTCATGAGGCATACAGCAACTTCCTATGGACTACAAGTGGTGCAGTATGCCCATAGAGATGATGCCGGCCAATCCTTCAGGCAATACATTTGTCCTCCGCAGAATCACCCGCTCGGATCACCTCCGAAGCTTAGTCTACATTAGCAGTATATATCATTGTAGCCACCAGAATATACTACCTACACATAAAACAAATCTATTACTACTATCTCATTCTCCCATAAAAGCACCAAATAAGATACTACAATCTCCCACAATGCCCGAAATAATCGATGACAAATCCCAACACTGCATCCCCTTCCTCCTCGAACGACTCCAAGCCCACCAAGCCCGCCATCCCACCAACACCCCGCCTTTCTTCCTCGGTCTAAATGGCGTGCAAGGGGCCGGTAAAACAGTCCTGGTATGACCTCCTTCCTCCCAATAATAATTACGCTCTATTACTCTCTCCGAAACCAATCAGTTCACTAATAATCAATCCAATGGGAGCAAATAGGTCTCAACCCTCCAATCCACCCTCCGCTCCCCACCCTACTCCCTCAACGTGGTAACCCTCTCCCTCGACGACCTATACCTCACGCACTCGCAACAAGAGCACCTCGCCGCCTCGCACCCCTCAAATCCGCTCCTCCAGCACCGCGGACAACCCGGCACCCATGACCTGACGCTAGCGAAGGAAGTGTTCTCGGCGTTGCGCGCGGGCCAGCGCACCGCGGTCCCGGCGTACGATAAGTCGGCGTTTTCGGGACAGGGCGATCGCGTGCCTCCGTCGCAGTGGGAGGTGGTGA